AGCTGATTGATGTTTCTCTCTCATCGATGTTTCTAACTATCTCTCTCCCTTCCTCTCTGTAAAAAATCAATAAAATTTATTTAAAAAAAAAACAACAAAAAAAAAACCCCATGGGTTTTTTTCTCTATTATATTGCCTTTTACATTGTCCTTGAAGATGATGAGAAAACTATTTTAAAAGGAAGGAACAATGTTTACATTGATTCCAAGCCTGGCAGTCACTTAGGAATTTGAGTCTCTTCTCAATCGGTCATATAGTCCCTTGTCTCTGTTCTTACATTTCAGCGCTTCGCCTCCTAAAATAAATGTCAACCTTCTCAGTTCGGTTTTCTGCTTTGTCAGCATGTCATGGGCTCATGTTCTACTTAATAACAGGACACAGTGGAAGGCCTCCGCTTGTGCTGTCAATGAAAATCTTTGTCTATCTGATCCCCTGGCCTCAGCTGGTATTCAGCTTCTTTCACTTCTTCTCGAGAATTTTGAGTTTATTCTGACTTTGAAGAGTTGCCAGCTCTTGGTGGGGTGGAGTTCTGTCTTTATGCAGAACGAGAAGCATGACCGCTCCAGGAGCTGTATTTCCTGCATGACTTTAACATGACATTTGCAAAACCATATCCCACCGAGGACAGATCAGGAGTCTCCTGGCCGCTGTCTGGGGACAGCAGCTCTAAGCTGCTTGGTTGATCTTTTAAGCACGTAGTGAAGTGAGTGCATGACACAGGAATGAGGTGGGCGCTTGAAAAGGAGACCAGACCACCCATGTGTTTGTGGTGTTTTGAGGGCGTTAGGGACTTTCTGGAGAGTCTACTTAGCTGCTGATAACACTGGACTGATTTGAAACATTGCCTTGAAGTCCTGGTGTTCCTGAGCTGCTGCCTTTCATTATGCCACAAGGTAGGTCAGAGCGACAATCATCTCTTTTTCTTGCTCTACCATCAAAATACCTCTTCCATCAGGATGGAGCTGCTGGTATTAAATTTCTTTCTGCTGCTCCTGCGCCTTGGAGAAGTGTCACTGCTCAGAGAGAAGTGATTGCTGTTGTACATGCGGGACTCTTGTCCAGCTCGTGATTTGGGGCGGGTCGTCGGCAATTCTCAGTAAACTTGGCTTTGAAAGACCATGGCTGGGGCTTCCCAGAAATGAGGAACAAGGAAATGTTGAAGTCAGCCTTCCCGACTTGCTTTCTAGAAGCAGCGATAATACTTGTTAATGATGCTTTAAAATGCTCCAAACTAGCAATGACTGTGGGCTAACCTGGCTGGGCATTAAAGGCATTTCCCAGGCACTCCATCGGTCAGGGTGACGCTCATGTATATCTACACGTATATGTCAGACCAAGTCTCTCTTCTCCTTATTTCACACATTTGGCCCAGGTGATTCATGGGCTTGCTCAGTCCTGTTTGCTGAGCCCCTAAAATACCACATACTCATTAATTGGGCCCAGAACTGACCCCCATGCTCCTTCCCGCATCCTCTTTTTTTTAAAAATTGATTTCAGAGAGGAAGGGAGAGGGGGAGAGAGAGAGAAACGCCCATGATGAGAATCATTGATCAGCTGCCTCCTGCACACCCCACACTGGGGATCAGGCCCTCAACCTAGGCATGTGCCCTGACTGGGAATTGAACCCTGACCTCCTGGGTCATAGGTCGATGTTCAACCACTGAGCCACGCTGGCCGGGCTGAAAATTCTTTGAACCAGAGCAACTCAATCATTTATCTTCCAGTTCTAAATAGTCTGATGACTTTTTAAATTTGGATCATAAAATAGGGGAACTGGGAGGGAGTTTTATGTCACCTCTTTCAATGCCCTCCTGTGGCCAGATCATGAGTTCATTTGTTCTTTTGTTGTTGATTTCCTTGAGCATCTAGTGTGGCAAACCACTCAGCAGAGGATATACTGAAGAGAGGTTCAATGTATTAAGCACAAGACGCTCATCTGTTAGGTTTTGATCCTGTTGTGATAGGTACAAACACTGGGCTTCTCGTTAATTCTTTCTGTTTGGAACCTTGGCCTTGATGCTGCCATGGTGCCAGGAACAGGTCAGGTTTCAGGCGAGTCGTCACTGGACTGTCAGTGGGTGTGAGACGTGCTGGCCTGAAGAGTGGCCTTTTTCTTCTTCTAGAAGGATAGTCTCTCCTTGGATTGCATATTCTCAGTGCAGCCAGTCCCCGTGTGTGTTAGCGCTCATTTAAAAGTGTAAATAGCCCCAGACGGTTTGGCTCAGTGGATTGAGCATTGGCCTGTGGACTGAAGGGTCACAGGTTTGATTCCAGTCAAGGGCACATGCCTGGGTTGCAGGCTTGATCCCCAGTAGGGGGTGTGCAGGAAGCAGCCGATCAATGAGTCTCTCTCATCATTAGTGTTTCTGTCTGTCTCTCCCTCTCTGAAATCAATAAAAAATATATATTTTTAAAAGTGTAAATTAATATACATTCAGTTTTGCTTGCATTTAATTTAGTTATCACATAACTAGAATAATTTGCTTTGACTCCCACTTTTTCACATAATCATCGTGTTTTATTATATTTTCTAAAAAGATGTAACTTTTTTCATTTTCTTTAGAATAAAAACATTACAGTAAATTTTATTTCTCAACTTAAGCACATCAGGAAATCTAAAATAAGGTTACCATGCTCTCATGAATTTTATGGTATTTGCAGCAATCTATTCTTTTTTTAAACAAAAAGAGCTTTTATGAAACTTAATAATTGTAACTTTGTTCAGTATTACATATTTCTTAAAATATGGCTGTTTTCCAAATACCACAAATAGTTTAAATCATTTTATCTGTTAGAGATCTTTTTAAATGGAGTCACTGGTTCATTCTGAAAGCAGCTCAAACTCAGAGTTTATAATCTTTGAAATCATGACTCAAAGTTTGCTAAATTAAAAAGAAAATCACAGTTGGCCGTTTTCTGATCGTTTAGAACTTGGCAATGAAGAGGAAATTGCAAGCAATGACTCCAGCTGAACTTGAAACCACAGTTTAAAACTTGGGCTCTTTAGCAAGACACACAACACTCCAACTTACAGTTTTTTAACTCTGTGTGTATAGAAAGTTTCCCACCTCACTTTCTCTTTGGTCTACTGGTCATTTTAATCCAGTGGACAGATTCCAAATGTCCTGGGTCCTTTTATGTGGGTTTATTTAACCCATAAGAATGGATCCACGCTGTTTCTCATGCCAGGGCACTTGGCATTCCCTTCACTTCTCTCCAGGAGAAAGAGCTTGGCTAAGGGCACTTCTGAGAACTGCCCAGATGGGGGAGGGGAGGGGCGAGGCAATGAGGAGACCCAGTGGGATGAGATTGTGTGACCTTGTGAGTATTATATGGGTGACCAGGGCATTTGAGGGGTTCAACAGTACTTACCCATTGAAAGAAGAAAGGTGTTCATAAGGAGGTGAAAGAATTTAATTGGAAGAGGAGAGTGAAAAGGAGGCCTGAGAGGCAGATGAAAAGGAAAAGACATTGCCCGGCCGGCGGGGCTCAGTGGTTGAGCGTCTGCCTATGACCTGGGAGGTCACGGTTCGATTCCCGGTCAGGGCACATGCCCGGGTGTGGGGCCTGCAGGAGGCAGCCGATCAATGATTCTCTCTCATCACTGATGTTTCTATCTCTCTCCCCCTCTCCCTTCCTCTCTGAAATCAATACAAATATATTTTAAGAAAAGGGAAAGGACATATATTTGTTCAAGTAGATGAGAGAACTGGCGGTGTAAGCTACCTTAGTTGTCGCTTCTTCATATGTTTGCCTCTGTTTTGGAGCACAGTCCCCAGCTTCTCTACTTTGTTGCTTTTTTCCTTTTCAAACTAATTTCCCCTTTTCTGGGCCTTCATCTGCATCCCCCAGGGTGCCAGCGTCTCCACAGTGGCCCTTGTCCAGCAGATGCCATCCAGCCCGATGCTCCCGCCTCCCCGCTGCCCTGCCAGCCCCGCGAGCGAGGACAGAGGGCCCTTCTCTGCCTGCGCTGTGTGTTGGGCCGCCCGCCCACTGGCTCCTCTTCTGATGCGTCTTCAGGCTTGTTTCTTCCTGACCTAGGAATGCACGAGCGTTCGGTCCTTTCTTGCTTTGAATGTCCTTTTTGTGCCGACAGGGAGAGAGATGACTTCATGTCCGCGCTGGTTTCCGCGAGGAGCAGCTTGGCGGACGTGCAGCAGAGGGAGGCGGGCGCCTACGAGCAGGTGAAGCGTGCCGTGCAGATGACGGAGGAGGCCAACCTTGAGAAAACCAAGGCAAGTCTAGCAGGGTCCGAGCCAGGCAGGCCATCATGGCCCCCTTTCCCATGTCTTCCCTTATTCTTCCACAGCTAAACTCTTCTTTCTAAACATGCAACGTGAATGCCCATCTGTTAATGTTAACTTTGCTAAATTAAACCAATTTCCACTTGGAGAGTTCTTACTCCTCTGCAGATACTCTTCTATTGCTGTTCAGAGAACATGGTACATTGTGGTCAAGGATGTTGAGAGGCTTGTGTGCTCAATCTTTTTATTTGATGACTAGAGGCCCGGTGCATGGATTTGTGCACTGGTGGGGTCCCTCGGCCTGGCCTGCACCCTCTTGCAATCTGGGACCCCTCAGGGGATGTTGGAGGTCCAGTGCATGGATTCGGCCCAATCCCTGCAAGCTGGGCCAAAAGACTCCACCAGTGCACGAATTCGTGCACCGGGCCTCTAGTATGCATATGAGATCTTTGGTCAATCTCTTCCCACCCTTCCCCTCTCCCCTCCCCCTTTCCCTCTGAGATTCATCAGTCTGTTTCATGTTTCCATGCCTGTGCGTTGAGCATCTGCCCCCTGGTGGTCAGTGCGCATCATAGCTACCGGTTAAATGGTCGAACTGTCGCTTAGGCTTTTATATATACAGGTAATTTTTAATGGTGTGAAAATCTTGACACCCATAAGTACATGTTCATGTGTAACTAAAGACAGATGTGTTTTTTTCTATACACAGTGAATTTCTAATATATATACTAGGAGCCCAACACACGATTCGAAATCATGCGGCACTGCCCACCCTTGAGTCACCAGTCCAGCCCTGCCTCGCTCTCTGGCCCTTGAAGCAGCCACAACTGCTGCTGATCAGGCCCTCCCCCAGTGCAGGCGCGCGGAGGCCCCTGCCACCCTGCCCTGGACGCTGCGCACACAACCTCCTCCTGTGTGGTCGACCCGTTACAGCCTTCTGGTTAATTAGCATATTTCTCTATTATATATATATTTTATTGATTTCAGAGAGGAAGGGAGAGGGAGAGATAGAAACATCAATGATGAGAGAGAATCATTGATTGGCTGCCTCCTGCACGCCCCCTACTGGGGATCAAGCCCGCAACCCAGGCATGTGCCCTTGACCAGAATCAAACCCAGGACCCTTCAGTCTGTAGGCTGAGGCTCTATCCACTTAGGCAAACCGGCTAGGGCTGTCCACAGGGAATTTTGAGAACATCCAAATATGCCACAGAGAATAACATATGGGTATATAATAGCATCTTAGCTATGAGACTGGATCCACGGTACATACTAAATCAGGCATGTTCAAAGATAATGATGACGACAGGAAGAGCTCTTACTTGGTGACCGGCAGTGCTGTCGGAGCTTTGAATAATAGGAGTTACTGCTGGGTCATTGCTATGTTTGGGGCCACACCTCAATCCATTAAAGTTGCTCTGTATTTCCCTACACACAGTGGCCACATGTAGCTGCGGTGACTGTATCAGACAGCGCGGATACAGACAGCATTTCCATCACCACGGAGAGGTCCGGGGGTAGCATTGGTCCAAGCCTATGGCAGCATCAGTGTTTTGCTCAGAGACTGGGCTGCTCTACAGTCACCGCCGTATCCACTTGTCTCTCTATCAAGTTCATCCCACCTCTTCCCAGACCACTGGCCCATCACTCTTTTCATTACGAGCCCCTGTGCCTTCCGGAACGTATGCTCAGTTCTGACCAAACTCTCAAACATACTTTACTGTTTCCTTCAACACAACACTGCTGTTTCTTCATTTGTACTGATGTCTAGTTGTCCCTCCCTCAGAGCCTCCAGCAAAGGCCCTTTGCCTCTCATTCATCTCATCCGGGGACGATGGGGGTCAGCGTTCACCTCATTCCTGACTCCTGTCCCCAGGCCTTCCCCTGGCCCCTGCTTTCAGCTCCCAGTCCTCATAGAAATCATTGCTGTCTCCTCGCCCTAATTTTAATCGAAGTCAATTCTCACTCTAGTGGATGCTATTTGACACTTCTTTTTTTAAAGAAATGCATCTGTTTTATTACCTGGGCTGTTAAAATAGTTGTGGTATCTTTGACACTTTTTAAGAGCTTTAGCCTCTGACCCTTTCCCCGTCTTTGTCCAGCCGGGCGGCTAAAGCATAAATACCGCAGACTGGGTGCTTACACAACAAACATTATTTCTCGCAGTTGTGGAGGCTGAGAAGCCCATATCAAGGCACGGCAGGTTCAGTGTCTGCTGAGAACCACTTCCTGGTTATAGACAGCCATCTGCTCCCTGCATCCTCGCGTGGTGGGAGGGGTGAGGGTGTTCTCTCTGGTCCCTTTTATTTTATTATTATTTTTAAAAATATATTTTTATTGATTTCAGAGAGGAAGGGAGAAGGAGAGAGAGAGATAGAAACATCAATGATGAGAGCGAATCATTGATCGGCTGCCTCCTGCAAGCCCCCTGCGGAGGATCGAGCCTACAACCCAGGCATGTGCCCTTGACTGGAATCGAATCTGGGACCCTTCAGTCCCTAGGTCGATGCTGTATCCACTGAGCCAAACCGGCTAGGGCTCTCTGGTCCCTTTTAAAAATAGATATTTTTATTGACTTCAGAGAGGAAGGGAGAGGGAGAGAGAGAGACAGAAACATCAATGATGAGAGAGAACCATCCATTGGATCGGCTGCCTCCTGCACTCCCCCAATGGGGACTGAGCCAGCAACCGGGGCATGTGCTGACCAGGAATCAAACCGTGACCTCCTAGTTCATAGGTCAGTGCTCAACCACTGAGCCACACCGGCCAGGCTGGAGTCCCTCTATAATCCATTCACGAGGGCTCCACCCTCATGACCTGATCACCCCCAATGGTCCCACCTCCTAACACCATCACATTGGAGGGGAGGGGTGAACGTATGGACTTTGGAGGGGCAGGGCTATTCATTCTGCAGCATCTCCACCTTCTCCTCCCATCACTTAAAGGTTTCAGTATCCATGTTGTAACGTATGTATACCTGGTCCCTACATGGCCCCCCACCCTTTGGCCTCCTGGCCCCCGTCCCCCCTGTTCTACTGTCACTCCCACGTTAGCCGAAGCGTCCATGAGCACCCCGATTCTGAACCTGCTCTCTCTGGCCCTTCTCCTGCTCCCCATCCGTTAAACCTACTCAGGGTCCTCTCTGCTGCCTTTACTGTTCAGCCTCATCTCACATCGCATTTTATCTGCTGCCCCAGGACCGGCTTCTTCCCTTTCCATTTCAGTGTGAATTTCCAATCCCTGACTGAGCTCATGTTCACTGCCCCCAACGCTGTGTTCTGGCCCCTGAATGGCAGCTTTGTCCACGGACATGCCCTGCGGGAAGCCTGGATGGCAGCCCCGCTTCCCGGACTCCAGCCAATCGCGACACACCGATCTTCGTGTCTGAGGCTCTTGGACTTCCCTCCTCGCTGCCCTTTCTTGTGATCTCTGGAGTGATGAGTTATGAACGCCTGTCCCCCTCTTCACCCCGTTCCACGTCAGCCAGACGCGGTCTTTCTTAGCAGATGCAATCATGTGACTGTCCTCCAGGGATTCCCACACCCTCTCTGTGCATGAGGTCTGTCATACGCGCTTCCCTTCACCCTCCAGCGCCACTTCCTGTGACTCCCCTCTCACACCCCGTCCTCCCACAGGCTCAGGCGGGAGGGTCTGGTGCTGGGGATGGTCACCTAGAGTTACCAGACCTCGCTCAGCTTCCAGCCCCGCTGTTGGCCAGCCGCGGGCCGTAGGGCAGGTTATTTCATTCTCTGTGCCTCAGCTTTTCCTCATCTGTAAATGGAAATGCTATCCGACTCATCGGATTGTTAATGGAACTGTATTTTAGAATGTGTGTGTAGGTTATTTTTTAATCTTCACCCGAGGATATTTTTTCCATTCATTTTTAGGGAGAGTGGAAGAGAGAGGGAAAGACAGAGAGAAACATCGATGTGAGAGGAACACATCGATTGGTTGCCTCCTGCACGCCCCCTGACCAGGCCCGGGCCGGGGAGGAGCCTGCAACTGAGGTACGTGCCCTTGACCGGAATCAAACCCGGGACCCTTTGGTCCTCAGGCCGACGCTCTATCCACTGAGCCAAACTGGCCAGGGCCATGTAGATTGTTTTGTAGAAACTCTGGCACAAACCATTTTCTCAGTAGGTGATGGTGATGGTTGTTAATTCCCCGATGATGCCGTTTCCTGGCCAGTTGGGGTCTTCGTACCTGCCACGCAAATTCTCCTTCCCTCCCCTGGACATCGTCTCTATTTCTCAGATCTTAGCTTGCGTGCCACTCTCCCTAGAAAACCTCTGCTCCCATGTCCAGATGTGATGTAACTCTTATGTATCTTTATAGCAGGTTCCTCTGCCTGGCACTGGTGACATTTGGGGCTACATAATTCTTTGTTTTGGAGGGTGTCTACACATTGTAAGATTTTTAAAAAATATTTTTTTATTGATTTTAGAGCGGAAGGGAGAGGGAGAAAGAGATAGAAACATCAATGATGAGAGAGAATCATGGATCAGCTGCCTCCTGCACGCCCCCCACTGGGGATGGAGCCCACAACCCGGGCATGTGCCCTGACTGGGAATCGAATCGTGACCTGGTTCATAGGTTAATGTTCAACCACTGAGCCAAGCCGGCCAGGCAGTTTTAAGATATTGAGCTGCATCTCTGCCCCTGCCCACTAGATGCCAGGACCACACCCTCTTCCCCAAGTTCTGACAACCAGGAATGTCTCTAAACATTGCAGATGTCCCCCCGGGGGAGGGAAAGGGGGCAGAATTGTCTCAGTTGGGAGCCACTCATTACATCATTCATCCAAATGAATCACTATTGCCTGTTGGCCTGGGTGCTTCATTAAGCTTCACAATCTCTGGAAGGAATAGGAATGTATCCATCTGTGCTCCTTTAAATCCCTAGCATCTTGCAAGGTGCTTAGCCCTTAATAGGTGCTCATTAAACGTCCCCTGAGTAAGGGGATTGCAGCCAGTTCTCACTAAGGCTCTGGA